AGAACAAACTTGTCTGGAGAGACATGCTTCTGTTCTCTAATATAAAAATCCATCTTCTTGGATCTCAAGAGAAGCTAAAGCTGCCTCCTTGCTCTTTACAGGCTCTTTACAATGCAGTCTGGCATTTACAAATAAGATGTAGAGGTTCATCTGATTTGTAACATGAGGTCTTTAACAGTCGTAGAGCTGGAAGCCTTAATGAGGCCATGACTTGCTGCTTTGCTTCCTTTCCGTTTTCAATGGTTGGCTCACTTTGTTGCTTTGTTTTAGCATAGCTAGAATCACAAATCCTCTTGTTGCTTTGTTAATAATGAACCTTATTCAGAAATTCCCAAGATATGTCTGAGTGAGGAACAGGAAGAGGACAAACGCAGAGAAGAAGAAATGCCTGGATTAGTGCCTTTTGTTGACACCATGAGTCAATGGTCGGAGAAAAAGATCATCACCATGTTACACAGCTGTGGAGGAGAGAGAGGTGGGAACCAGCCAGGAGACAAAGGTGGTGAGAGAATTGCCCCTGCTCTCCATCAGCACAGCCTGTCCAGAGGTAAATACAGCTGGATGCTCCCCAGAGCTTCATAATGGAGTTAATCCTGCAGGGTGCTGAGCTGCCTTAACTCCCAGCTCAGTAATGCATGAGGGTTTCAAAGCAACACGATAGGTTAATGCATTAGGGCTCTTGCGCTTGGATCCAAATCTTAATCAGCTCACAGAGAGGAGGGAGAGATGTTACATTAGCAATACTGCCCTGCTGTGAAGTGTAGATATTATCTGCTCCATGCCTCATTGAGCATCTCCGCGTGGCTGGAACCGTGGGGGCTGCCCTGGGTCAGGACTGTGGTGCCCTGGCTGAAGGACATGTTCTTGTGGCGGCCCCAAGTACTGGGGGCTGGGCTGCCAGGCAAGAGGCTGCCAGTTCTGTCTGCTCACTGTGTGCACTTTGTGATGGAAACTAGTCTAGAAAAGAATCACGTGGGTGACACAGCTTTGGAGCATCTCACGTCAGATGCATCGCTCATCGCCAATGGAAAGCTGGTTTCTCGCTGTGGATGCTGTAGTTGTTGTAAAGCCATGACATTACCTTTGTCCCCAGAGTCTGATCATTGCCATGAGGAGGATGCTCCAGGAAATAATAAGAGGCTACAGTAGTATTGCATGGTTGGAAACCCATCCACTCCACAGCCAACTTCCAAGAAGGAAAGAAACCTGGGAGAAGCCTGGGCTTCATAACCATATCTACTGCTCTGGAAATAATCATTACTACACTTGCTTTTTCTCTGTTGTTTTTACTCCCATGCAGGTGTCCCAGCTTCCCAGTATGGCCAAAAGTCTCTTACAGAGTAAAAATGTTTGATTTAGTTAAAAATGTCTTTCAAAGTCCTCTGGCACTTCAGAGACAATCTGAAATAAATATGAATAAATCAGAGTCACTCTTGGGAGGCCAGCAGTACCTTGCAGGTTTCCCCAGAGGCAGACTGAGCCTGCTCTTCTGAGAAACAGCCTTGCGTGTCCCTCTGCTCTGTGCACGTTTAAGTGCACATTTCACTGAAAGGAGATCTCTCCCCCTTCAGTGTTGGCTTTCTTCCTTCTGCTTTTGCTCCACCTGAAGTCTCTGTTGATGACAAAGCAGTTAGGAACAGGAGAGAGAAATCTTCTTTATCACAGGAATGGAGACAAGGAAAAAAAATCAGATCACCTTTGAATGCAAAGATGGTGTTTCTCAAGCGTTCCATTAACTGGCTTTGTCCCCTGTGTCAAGCCCAAAGAGGGAACAAGTAAAGAGATATTATCATTATTATGTCCCACTTCTGTAGATTCAAACACGCAGATGACATTTTACAAAATAAACAGAGGCCAAGGGCTTGCCCTGGAGAGCTGGCACTGACAAGACCATGGAGAGAGAGGGCAAATTCAAAGGAAACATGTAGTCCTAGGATTCCCTGTTAGTGCCTCTGCCTCCTTGAGCCGTTGCATTCTTTCCGTATTGAAGTAGAAAGGCCTAAAATGGGGAAAATATATGCCAGAGTGCAGAATGCAAGACAGTGGATTGAAGAGTTACCAGGTCCTTGCAAAATCATGGAATTCTACTAACTGACCCAAAACACTTGAGCCCAAACTTGTTACTGGCTTGTCCTTATTCCAAGGACAAGTCTGAGATTTCATTGAAAACCTTGGGGGAAACACTGCCTTAGTTCTGTTTAGTTCAGTCTACAATCTTCAATAGCTGAGATGTTTGCATTCAGTTTTTGCGAACATCTGGATTATCCAAATTATCCAGTTCTTTTTCAGACAAAGGAAGATAATAATAATGAGGAGGCTCAGAGCCGGGTGCCTGAGAATTGGGCCGGAGTCGCAGCTTTCTCCCACAATAAAAAAATCATTAGAACCTTTAAATGGCATCTTTTGTCCCAGTCAGACTGAATCCCTTGCACGTGGCCCCGTGGAAGACATTGCCTTCTAAATACACGCAGGAGCTGATGGAAATTTTGTTATGGCCCAATGATGCAGAAAGAAACTGGCAGTGAGATTTAACAAGGTCACTTCAAGGCACAGAAACCTCTGTAAAATATGCTCGTTCCCTATATCATATAAAAACAGGGCCAGGGAGGTGAAGGATAAACCTTTCACTTATAGGAAATGATGATTTACGATTAATTTCCAAAAGAAGGAAATACTTTTTTAATCAAAATTATTTATAGGGTTAATCCAAAGGCAGTATTTGCTCACTAGCTCCCTTACTCGCCAGCACAGAAACTGAGGCAAGGTGAAGATGGATGGGGTTTGTCCATGGGATTTGAATCAGCTCTGCACAGGAGGGCCTGTAGTCAAGGATACCTGTATTATTTATGGCCAAGATTTTTGAAAGGGAATAGCTGAGCTTGGATCCCTTGGGTTTGGTCGCCCAACATGTGACCTGTGCAGAGTACCGGCCTCCTTGAAAAATGGCCTTTAGAAACCTTATTTCCCACCATGAGCCTTTGGGAATTTATGAGATTTGTTGTCTCTGGTGCTTGTTGCTGGAACTAGATGGGCTGAAACCCAGGATTTCCCCATTTAACGCTGCTGGGCACGAACTGCACAGCGCTGGACCCAGCAAGGAGTGGAGGAGCATGCAAACTGATGTCCCCCTCCCTCCAGATTTCATAGAGGAGTTTAAGGCAATGGGTTTTTCTGGTTGCTGCATGGATGTGTGGGGACGTGTGGTTACAGTGTGTGACTGAGGGATGCTGGTTTTACCCTGATGAGGAATGATTACCCTTCTGCTACCCTATTGCTGGCTGTGGGAAGGAGAGGTGCTCAGTGCTTCACAGGACCTGGCTCTCAGGATGTAACCCCCGCTTCAGCTTTAAGTTAATTTGATCTCACATCTGCTGTTTATTAAATTAACTCTGGATGGTTCCCCGGAACGAGCACTACAGATTTTTATAGCATGTCACAGGTGCTCAGGTGCTGCAATGAGGGTCAGGACACCGAAAGCAAGGCAGGCAAACTATACAGGAGTCCATACACTCAGTGGAAAATATGGTGGGGTTTGTCATTGGAAAGGCTGACAACTACTGAGGAAGATAAAGACAAGAAAAGATAAGACGAGTTTGGTACTACACTGATGTTAGTTACAATCTCACTACGGACCTAATTTCTCTTGTGGCTTTAATCCTCCCCATTTTCAGCCAGCAATCTATTATATTGGAAGATATCTGAGATGCTTTGGGAGTACGGAAATTATCATACATAAAATATGTAGCTAGTATTATTAGAACTGACTTTGATTAATTTTGCAGCTGGCAAAATTACCCCTGCCTGAAAATGAATTCCATTTGCTATCCGTGTGGAAGTAATTGTGTTAATATCAAAGCTAGTTTTAAAATGAAATGGAGAGGGCTCTACTCCATGTCTCCCATGCAAGAAATCAGGGATGCCAGATGAAGGGCTAGAGTGATAATTCCTTGCTAACACAATTATCCTTTCCTCCACAAAAAGTCTTCATGACTTCAACAGTTATTTGTGGTATATTTAAGGTACATTCAAGTATACAGATACATTCAGGTAACCTCTTGTCTCAGTCTCACCTTTGATTTGCATATTGCCTAAGGGCAGAGACTAATATTTGTATTTGTACTACGTGTTTGTACAGCACCAAGCACAGCAGAGCCCGGTTCTCATGGGCAGGTTCATCAGCCCAATAACTGTCGACAGCAAAGATACGTGTCCAGGCCAGAAATATCTCTCAGGCTAATTACCCTGTTAGTCTACAGGAGTGATTTTGAAAAGCACTTGGACAAGATTAAACAGACAGCTTTCATTAATTAAGAACTGTTTGGGCTTCAGGTGCTACAAAGATCCCAGATGGCCCCATATCCACCACCTCTGGCTGCAGCTGGGGTCTGGATCTCCCCCTTTATTTCTCATGTTAAAAGTTTTCCTCCCTGCAGCCTGTTTGCTGGAGCGCACAGATTCTCTCCTCCTCCTAAGCAGGAGGTGGGCAGGTCTAACTACATTAAATATACAAACATACTGTGCTCCCTCTCTGCTCCACCAAGGGCTGGCGTGGGCATCGGTGGCCCATCAGCGGCAAAATCTGAGCAAAGGCTGCCCAAAGGGCTGGGGGAAGGGTGAAGACAGCAGCAGCAGCAGCAGCAACAAATAAACCAAGCAGCCAAACCACCCCGTAGGAAAGGGGAGAGGAGCAAGCAGGAGAGCCCAGAGAGGCTGGGCATTTCATGTCTCTTTACAGGAGCTTTCTGCAGCCCTTACGCATCTCTTGCAAGTATATGTGCATCGGTGTCCCAGGGAAGAGCATCCTTCTAGGAGGAAGAGCTGGAAATCAGCCAGAAGAGAAAAGAAAAAAAGAAACCACCAGCTATTATCCCTTCCCAGAGGCAGGTGAGAGGGAGAGAGAGAAAGGAGTTTAGGGGAATGAAGCTGGAGGATCCAGAAACTCAGAGAGGAAAAGTTGCCCTGACGGGAGGCTCTGCGTGCTAGAGCCTGAGCTCTGCTCTACAATGGGATTTCTGGTGTCTAAAAGAAACCTCCTCCTCCTGCTGTGTGCCAGCGTCTTCCCTGGTAAGTTTGAGAAAGCTTTTCTACCCCTGCTCTGCTCTCTAGCTCTTTTCTCCCTTATCCCCCTCAAAGGCATGCTGCGAAGACCGGTCCCTGTCAACAAGGAGTTTCCCCCCTCCTGCATCCTCCTGCCCCATCATTGCAGGTCCCCTAAATACCAGCCTCAGCTGAGCAACGCTTTGCTTTTATTTTCTGCTCTTTGCCTGACTTGATGGGGAAAGGGTTAAAGCTGCGGTGGGAAAGGGGACAGGAGGGAGAATACAGGCAGGGGCTCAGCATCCTGCTTCTTGCCTGGGTTTTTCTTCCCTGGGCAAAGTGTGTTAATGTGTCTCCGGGCTACAGCTCCGGCTGGGGAGAGCGCAGCCAGAGCTCAGCTAATGCTTCCCTTTGTATAATCCAGGACAGCTAAAGACTAAGTAGGAGCCATATTCCACGAGAGATGCAGGGAGAGCCCCCAGCTCCCTCTCCCTGCCGTCCGTCCGTGGTGGAGGATGCATCTGCATGCAGCCGGCACAGGAGCGCAGCTCCCCGGCAGCCCCCTGGAAGAAAGGTGGCTTTAATTTCTAATAACCAACAGGCACCTCCGACGGTTTCTGTATGTGCAGGGTCAGGGCTGCTCCTTGCAGCCTCCAACTTTTAAAGTCGTTCTTGAGGGAAACTGCACTCTTGTTATCCAGTTTGAGTTCTCCCCCATCCTCTTCCTTCACCCATCAATTTTGTGAAAGACCAGCTGTGAAAGTTAGTTTGAAGAGCTGAATTTCAGTCTGCCTTTTTTTTTCTGATGCATTTGATGCCAGTTTTTATGTGTAAATCTGATCCAAAATCCCTATCTCCCAGCAGGAGGCTGCTTTTTCCTTTTTGTCTTGCCCTTCTGGCATCACTCTTTCCTGCTCTCAGACTCCAGTGCTAGAAACTTGCTGCAAAGTGGCCATAAAAATTAAACCAGATTCAGGGGAGAATGGCCCATGGAGCGTTTTTCAAATGGTTTTACTGATGCCCCCACTTTCTGCAGACCAATCCTGCTCTGCAATAGAAACCCTACTTTGGGAATTGGCCACGGTGGGTGAATAGAGTGATAAATACATGGCAATGCCTGGGGTAGCGGGGAAGCAAGTCACCAGGGTGGCATCACCCTCCCATGTGTCCCTACTTGCCCATCACTGGGTTTTAGCCTGGGGATCCCCCTGAGAGAAGGCTCCAGCTATGCCGGCGCTTGGAGCTGCACACGTTTCATGCCACCGTGCCCCATGCCTTCCCCACAGCCTTCGGTCATGTGGAAACCCGAGCCCATGCGGAGGAGCGTCTCCTGAAGAAACTCTTCTCTGGTTATAACAAGTGGTCCCGCCCCGTCGCCAACATTTCTGATGTGGTCCTCGTCCGCTTCGGCTTGTCCATTGCCCAGCTCATCGATGTTGTAAGTACAACCTGTTTGTGCAACAAGCGGCCAAGGTTAACCGGGTCAGGGCTTGGGGCGAGGCTTCTGGTGCACGTGGGTGGGTTTTACTGGATGATCCAGGGTCAGGTTGAGAAGACTTTGCTCTCAGCAGAGAAGAGTTATCACGCAGACAGCTCTGCTGGGACGAGGGATGACTCATGTGAGTAACTGGTCATCAAAGTGGATCCTTTATTCTTCATTTACTACAGGCAAAATCCCAAATTCCTTAACAAAACCCGTGGGACTGGTCACAGCAGAGCAGTGGAGCAACTGGTATAAATGCCAGAGAGTCCTGGCTAAGGAAAAAACCAAATAGCTGATTTGGAATTTGAGCCATAATTATTAACACTAATTTACACAAGGTAATAGGAGCAGTAGTTCACGCATCTCTGGAAGATAGCTTGCCTGAAGAGCTTTCTGCAAATGAAAGTTTTGAGGGTTTTTAGCTAATCTGGCAGATATTAACAAGAAAAATGTTTCTCCGTGTTTGTTCAAATAGAAGTTCAACGTGTGCAAACTGCATATGCTATGTACAAAACGGCGTGGTTTGCACTCCGGACTGATGCGCACTGAAATGGTGTTTAAAGGATTACTCTATCACAGTGTGTTGGGGTCAAGTGTTGAATCCAAAGGAGATCCCTGCAGGGCTGCAGATGTTAAGCACATACACAGGCTTTCTAGCTTGTGCAGATGTTGCTCCTGCATGCTTCTGTCTCCTGTCCCTGTTTGCACGCAACACTTCCCAGGACAGTGTGTTTGTGTAGATGCACATCTCTTGAACAAGTATCAGCCTGGCTTTCAGAGGCTCTCTGTCACTTTTTCCTGTATTCGTGTGGCAGAGTAAAAGGGGTGGTAATGGAAAGTGTAATGCAACTTAAAGACATCACTGGTGTGGGACAATCATAACAGATGACTCTCCACAATATTTCATATTTTGAGATAAGAGTTTTGAGATGCGGAGGAAACAGAGCCAAGGTGGTGCAGGAGGTGGGCGATCAAAGACACTAGTTGCTAGAGAGTTGCACCTCCTTGTGCACAAGCCATCCAGCTTTGCAGCACAGAAATGGTCTTCCATTCCCCTCCTCTCTCTTACGTCAGCCCGAGGGATCCGGGGCTGTTTGCAGTTGCTAATGTTGAAGTTGTACGGTTCTCATCTGAATAATTGATAAGACTAAAGATGAGACATTAGTGACTGTGGAGGCATGAGAGAGACTTTCCATTATGCAGCTGCTAAATTGTGGAAGAGGGGGGATCGATACACCTGCTTCGTAGTGCTTTTCCCAGTTTACTTAAGAAGAATTAATCTTCTTAAAGTCATGTCAGTGGTTAGAAGTGCAACTAGCAGGCAGTTCTGTGCCGGGGCCGGTGGGTACAGCTGGAGGAGAGCTCTCATCCCCTCCTGCCCCAGTCTGTGTGGTTGGGGACTGATGACACCCCCTGCCACCACTGCAGCACTTCAGCTGTGTCTCCCCCTTCCTGACAGCGGCACTGTTTTGGTGCAAACCCCACTGCAATTGTTAGACCCAACGTTCAGCTTTCAACGACAAGAAGTCTGAAAGAGAAATCAGAGCCGTATTCAAACCCCAGCTCCTGCTGACAAAAGCTGGGGGCGGGGGGAACAAAAATCAATGTGGAACTTGACATCCCTGCATGGCCTTACCTCACGCTGGTGTGCTGAGGGTTTTCTGAGCCCAGAAAAAAAGTGGTAAGGGATTGAGCATGTGTCTAGGAGCAGCCACTGAGAAACACATTTGGACTCGTAAGCCCATGTTTCTGCAGGACCTCGTGTGCTGCGTTCACCTTGAGAAAAGAGGCCAGGCAGTGCAACACCACCGTCGGCTGCAGAATCACCCGCTGTCCTCCGGGCTGGCTCTGTGCAGGAGAAGTCAGCCGTGCAGGTGGAGGAGGCAGTCAGTCATGAGCACATCGCAAACCCCCTACGAGACAAACCCATGGGACTAGAGTCATGCTTCGCTTGGGTCAGGAGGATGGCAGAGCCCTCAGGTGTAGTGATGGGCAGGAGTTTCCACCAAGGGTCTGCACCAGCCAGGGAGGAAAATTCCAGTAAAGGGTAGCACCTGTGAGACTGGGATCCCCAGTGCAGGGACTGTGGTGGAGACCCTCAGATGTTTGAATTGCAAAGTGGTAAAAGAAGCAGATGCTCGAGGATTGGTCCAGTCCAGGGCATGGCAGCCTCCTCCAGTGGCATTCCTCACCTCTCACCGGCACCCAAGGAAGTAGCTGGATATTTTCCCTTTCTTTGTTGCTCATTTGAATGTTTTTTCTATTCCTCCTTCCTCCATGTGCTTCTGGTCCCTAACCCTGGATGAGGGTATCTTTGATCAGGTTTTACACTTGGTGCCACAACAGCAGTGAGGAGGCTCAGTGAGAGGGAGGCACAACACCCCCCCACCACCCCGCCCCCCCAATCCCCCGCCTTTTAATGTGCAGAATTAATCCTGAACTGCCACAAGAGCAAGGTTAATGACAAGCAGTTTGCTTCCAAATGAACCCTGTCAATTGAGCTGGTTTTGATGCCAACCAAAGAGAGAGAGAAAGAAACAAACACACAAATAAGCTCTGAGCTCTGATGTGACACTTAAATCAGACCAGCACTAGGCTCTGCCCCACATAATTCGTCCTAGTTATTTACATAGGGGTTGTAACAAGCATGCAAGGCAAGCAGCTAGCAGTAATTAATTCCACTACAGTGCTGCCAGCATTATATTTGCCGTACATTATTTAAAAGTGTATATATATATAGTTCTACCTTTCCATACTATTTGTACTTAGAGTTTGGAAAAAGTGTACCAATTGACAGCATGGGTATACACCAGGCTGTCCAAGGGTTACGTGTCAGCAGAGTAGCTTGGGTTTATTCAGCAAACCCAATCCATAGTGCTCTAAGTTCATGTATTTGGTAGAAGGAGAAACACTGCTGAGCTTCATGTTTCCAGGACTGTGTTCATGGATAATGTTTCACAGTAGAAGTACTAAACACTACTTGCAGATGAAGCTGAGCATTGTAATCCACACACATGTGTGTAAGGATATATATACCCATCACTCCCCTTCCTTCAGCGCTCAGGTCAAAGCCAAGCTGTGGAGCTCTTTCCTCTGCCTGGCCCCATCATCCTAGGCTGAATCCATCAGCACCGAGGAAAATCCCAATAAATTCAAGTCTGTCCGCTCACAAGATTGCTGGGGTGCAGGCTCAGCTGTTCAGTGGTATCAGGCAGCTGTGCCCTGTCCCAATGACAGAAACATCTGCTTTTTATTTCCAAGACGGAACTCACATTTATTGCAGAGGTGATTTATAATTACAGAAATGAAGTACAATTAAGAGAAATTTAATGAGTTCCTTGGGCTGCTTCATCTGCTTCTGTAACCAATATCTGATCTTGCTTTTTAGGACGAGAAAAATCAAATGATGACCACGAACGTGTGGGTGAAGCAGGTGGGTGCACCAAAATATATGCTTTTCCATGTTCCTTTTCAGTTTTGCAATCTGAACTCTCCCAGCTTTGTAACCGCCTCATTTTTGGCAGGAGTGGCATGACTACAAGCTACGCTGGGACCCCCAAGAATACGAAAATGTCACATCCATCCGAATTCCCTCGGAGCTCATCTGGAGGCCAGATATTGTCCTCTACAACAAGTGAGTGTGAGCACTGTGGCCAGAAGGCAAACCCATCCTTGCAAATTTTCTCTGCCCATGGTGTTAAGGTGCTTCTTGCAATTATTCCTCCTTATTTTGTTCTCTGTGGTTGAATTCCATGTAGATTCTCATAATATCTGTCCCAGACGTGCCTTAAATGACATGACTAACATTTATCACAAGGGCTTTGTTCTCCTAATGATCCTTTCTCTGGACAGAGAGTTTTGTCGGGGGATGCCGGGTATTGTTTTCTCTTCACATGTCAGATACACAATTAAGCTGGATTTGAGCTTTCAGCCCTCTTCAATTTCATTTCACCAAGGAGCTCTCCCCTAATTCATCACCATCAACTGGAAAAACCAATTACCGAGGGTGGGCTTAAATAAGGAAAATATGCTGAAACATGTCAGACTTGTGTGTCTACAAATACACGTTTCAGGTCAGCCCAAAACCATTCTAGAATTATGCTTAAATAAGAATTTGATCCCGAATGCTTGAAATCTGTCTCTTGCATGGACACTTCCTAGGCAGCAGGTGGTTGTTTTCTTTCTTTCCTTTGGAGCCTGTTGATATTCTTAGAAAGACTGTCCAAGTGCCAAGGCTGTTTTCTCCTTGGCTTATCATACCAGAGCTCTCCAGTCTCCTAGGATGTAGGATATCCCAGTCTCCCTCCCCAGCCCAGGCTCCAGAAAAACACTCGCTGCAAGCATCAAACAAAAACATCTTTGTATGTAGCTAACACATAGAAAAAAAAACCACAGAGGAAACACTCACAGCGGACGCCAGGCTCATTTGGCTAACACATAGAAAAAAAACCCACAGAGAAAACACTCACAGCGGACGCCAGGCTCATTTTTAATAAACAGTTGCCTGGTTCTAGTTTGATATGATTTTGCTTTTGTTTAAAAAAAAAAAAAAAAAGGCTGAAGGAGGAATTTGTCCAGGGGATTGTGAGCTTTGGAGACTATGGAAATTGTTATCCTTCCCATCAGCTTGTCTCTGATCCTCAGTGGTGTGGAGTGATTGCAAACCTCTTGGAAATCACTGCATCCTAACATAGCACCTTTCAGAGACTAGACCAATGGAAATGACTAATTCATAGGCACTTGGACCTTCCTATCCTACAGGGACACACTCTGAGCATGAATATTATATTGCAAGTGCCTCACATTGCAGCCAAGAAAGGTGTTCACAGCTTCCACTGGAAAAAATGAATGTCCTTGTCCTTCTCATTGCTTAATTAATGACAATGGTAAGGATTATGATTTTTGGAGCTTCTGGTGGTTGTTGTGGTGGACCATAGTGCCAAAGGAAATAGTGCTACAAAAATCTCCATCGTCTATTGGACCTTTGTGCTTCAAACCATCCATTTGCTGGAGCTACTGGTACACAAGAGCCTGACGTGTCATCTCTGCATCTGCTCCCTTGGCTCACCACGCTCACCACGGCTGATGAGCATGGTCCATGCAAGGAGGGCCCTAGCACTAAAGAAGGAGGCCTCGGTGTCCTTTTGTGCTCTAGACATTTTGGGACTTCATGCTGAAAGCAGGTCCCAGAGGTCAATGGGCACCCAGACCTCTGAGCTGGGTAGCCTTTGGCTTCTGCCCTTTGCATGCTCTGCCCCTCTGCCCTGCTGTCCTAGTTCACTGCTGCTGTCACTTGAGCAACTACAGGGACTCCAGGGAGTAGCTGCCTATCTGCTGGCCACAGCAGCTATTCCAGAATGTCCTCCTTATCCTCTTCTGGGGCGCAAGTCTTTCAGCCTTGCCTACCTTATTGCTCGTCTCAGTCTGACTTGCAGGGAGGTATGGCAGATAGCAAGTCTAACTGTACTGGTGACCTGCTACCACGCAGGGAGATCTAGTGCCCCAGCTACCTAAATCCAAGCTACTTCTCTCCTTTTATCCATCCTTACCATTAATAATCATGCATTCCTCTGTTGGTTGTCATGAGTCTATCATGCATTTTTAATCGGTTACTTTATCCATGAATTAAACATGGATGTAGGCGCCAACCGTTAGCCGGTCAGTAATGGTTTTCCATTAATTCTATACCTCTTTACAGCTATATTTGCCCACGCTCTTTCATACAGCCTTATGTAAATTGTTTCCTGCCCTGGGATATACTTCTCCCTTCTGCCTAACTTCCTATCAAACACATCCAAAGCTGCAGTCAATGTCTTAGTTGCACTACTCGAACAATCAGGTTTCATGTTTTTTAGGGGTTGCAGGGCAAGGCAGGGCAAATGCAATGCCTGCAAGGCAAAACCTGTAGCATGATGGGACACCAAGAAGAGGCTCTTCTGCATGGCAGCTCACCAACTGCATAACCAGACAGTGTTCCTCCTAGTGGGCATCCCAGCTAGAAATGTTTCGGAAAGAAAGGCTTTGCAAAGACAGTGACTAGTCATGGGTGAAGCTAACAAGGACTCCGTCTCATATTTTTGAGATATATATATATATAGTTTAGAGGGAATTTAAAGCACATGCACAGAATTCTGGGTCCCTAAGAGCAAGAGAATTATGTGCAGAGACCTTGGTGGAAGAGAGACAGTGGCCACATTGACCTTTTGCGCTGTTCAGGCTTTTTAATGTGAGTTATTTATCGCTTACCACATGCTGTGGCAGAAGTATGGTATTTCTGTTTGGGATGGTATCCTTTGGAAGAAAGACTTTCTGGACAGGAGATTATACAAATGACTCTTTTGTTTTCACCTTGGGGTATATATAGAAATGGTGAAATTTAAATTGATTTGAGATTTACATCTTTAAGGAATCCTAACCCCTTGTTGTGAGGTTATTCTCATATCTAAGCTCATTATTGTCAAAAACTTCCATTTATCCACTCTAGAGGCCCAAATTAAATCAGTAAACTCGGCTGGCTTGGCCTAGAGAGTATATATAGTTGTCAACACTCATAAGGAATCTAAAACCAAATTAATATCCTACAGGGAAATTAATATGCTGTTGAATTTTCAGGCTTGATGAGATAAGTTCCAAGACTCTGTAAATAGTTTCTACTAGATGTGACAAAACATATGTATGACAGAGGAATATGAGTTAATAGTGAAGCGACAAAGCCTCTTCTTCTCTGCCAAGAAGGCCAGCTGTTCCTTATCTGAGGCTGTAAAGGCTCTTCAGACACCACCAAATCATTTATATATGAATTATTTAATCCTCTGCATTGACTTATTTTCCCATTCATGAATGGACTTTAAGCACATTTTAGTTTTCCTTTGTATATTTAAAGTAAAAAAAAAAAATAATCTTTTTTTTTGTCTAATCAGGGAATAAGCCCTTGGGGATGCATTTTGATTGGTTTTTTGCTTCTCCCCCACTGTGTTGAGCCATTTGGACCCCATGAACACAGAAACTCCAGCGGAGAAAACCCTGAAACTGCAGGTTTGCAGCCAGGTGCTCCAGCTGCTAAAGGCTGCCCAGAGGGATGCCAGACCATGTTCTTGAGACTAATTGAAATGTGAGCTTCCCTGGCTAGTTTTCAACTGGATATTCATGATAGCATTTGTTTTCTCTAGTCTGATGATTGTAAATCCTGGGAAGAAGCTACTGGGAACATTCAGACTTCAAAATTTTCTTTTTTCTCAATATTTTCTGGTGTTAGCTGTTCCAAAAAGAACAGCCTTAGCCTCCACCAAAAAAAAAAGAATAAAAGACAAGATCATACATACCTGCCTTAGCCTCCACCAAAAAAAAAGAATAAAAGACAAGATCATACATGAAGGGAATTCAAACACAAATTTCTGTAATTAGGAGCAGGAAAGATCTTGAGGAATTTACCCTGTGGTAATATGGACACAAAGGATTACTGGACTGGGTTAGAACATCATCTGGCAGGCGGCTTTTGAAAATCATGAGAAAGCAAAAGGTTCTTTTGAACTATACTATGATGTTTGCAACCAGGGAGACTTACGGAGTAACACTGGTTTCCTCACTCATCCCAAAACTGTTTGGAGGAGAAATACCAAAAGATGCCCTAGTCTAACCTTTAAAATATTGGAAACATTCTTGACATTTTTCTTTGTGTTTGAGCGTGTACTCGCACAGATCGTGTCATTTTGCACCAGATTGTACTTATTACAGGCCCATAATTGCTATTTCACACTTAAGCTCTCCTGATTCTTCTGGGAGTTTAAATGACTATGTTTCTGGAGAGGAATTCTATCTCTAGATGCCTTTGAGGTTTGCTGCCAAGCTCTAGCCAGCAATACAGGAATTGATAGAAAGAAATTTATAAGAGGGATCTCTCTCATGGGCTGTTGCTGAGTTAGCATCCGAGGACTTCTCCTACCATTATGCTAAGGACAGAGCTAGAGTTTTGCCTACAAAATGCTGATGAGGATGCTTGGCAAAGAAGGGAAGAGTCAAAGGAAAATGCTAATTTAGCACTGTTAGAGCCTTATAAGAAACTTGTGTTTATTTCATCAGTGTAGCACAGCCATTTCTGAGACAGATGCCTATTTTACTGAGGAATGATCAAAATTTCGGTTACCAATGATTTCTGAACATCGGAAGCAAGCAAAAGCTGGGATGGGACCTACAGAAGTACACATCAATGCACTGACACCTCCATCTATGTAGCCAAGATGTGCACATCTGTTTTGTACCCAAGTTGCCAAGACCTTGGAGATTTTTAAAACCCAGCTGGACAAGGTCCTGATTCTCTTGTTGCTGACCCTGCTTTGAGAAGGGAGTTTGGACTTAACAATCCCCAGAGGTCCCTTCCAACCTGTGAATTTGTAGTTATCATTTTGGAAGCACAAAACAATTGTTAAACAAAATATTCCCTGATTTGCCTTTGGAGAGTATTTTAATCTGAACATTGCAGAAGCATCTCTTTAATGACTACAAGAAGGGTGCAGGGTACATTCTTTAAAGGGGTCTTGAAACTCCAATTTGTCTTGGTTACTGCTGTTCCATGAAAAATGCTTTAAATGAGGACATTCTTGCTATATCCACATATGTATATAGCTAATTTTCAGG